GTCTGTGCTACAAATTGCAGGCATCAGGATAATAAAAGTTTTGTCGACAGATTTCAGCATTTTTAGTTAATTTAGGTGTTAATAAACTGTTTCAGAGGAGTAATAATAGTGATCTGTATCATCAGCAGTGCTGTGTCTGACTCCTGATCAGCTTCTCTCATTGGTTGATGCGACACGTCCAGCAGCTAAAGTAACATTTTTCCACCTCCAGCAGCTGCTGCGTTTGCAGCGCATGGCGCGTATCAGATGCTCCAATGGTCCCGACGAGCTGCTTCAGCTGCTCAAAATGCGCTGCGGGACCTTTTGCTGCGCCTTGATGCGCGTAAACCATTGACTTTGCATGTAAACTAGCTGCTTCTGCTGCCTTTGCTGCTTGCTGTCTGAACGTAGCATAACTCTTGGTTCTTTGCTCCGACTGAAATCCAAGTTAAAGACGTCCAAGTCGAGGACCAGTGCTACTCTTGCCAGAAAGTACTGATCCAAACATAGCCTGGCCCACACCCAAAGGGAATAGTCCAACAAAATATGCTTGATCTTGGATTTATGCGTGTCCAGAACCAAACCAGAATGTTTCCTGTGCTGACTGTTCCGTATGGGCAGAACCAGTTGGCTGAATGTCTCTGTGTTTGCAGGGCAGGAAGTCGGTCCGGTTCGGAGACCGTCAGTTCTGTGAACAGGCCAAGTCCATCATTGTTGTAAGTGACCCATACACACATGCAAGCTGGTTTCTGCCTTTTTCTGGGCTGTGGGTGGAGCTAGAGGGTTCTATCTGGACCCATTATAACTACATCAGAGTCCAGTTAATGTCTGCTTCATGAGATCAGGCTCAGCTTCAGAAACCCATTGGCCTAGACTTTGAATGGTGCTGGCTCACCTGGTTCCACTTCTGACCCGGTCTGCACTTGGTCATCTATGTTTCAGCAGATGGATAGGATAGGTTGTGCAGTGGGAAACTTGTGTACTATATTCTGGTTCCAGTGTCATGGTAATGAGCTGGTTCTGGTCCCGACCCACAGAGGTATACCAGCCGGCAGTCCAAACCTCTACGGGTCCAGGTGATGCACTCGTCTGTGGTGGCCCATCAGTGTTTTTCTCTAAAGGCTCTCAGCTGGTTGGGACAGATCATCCAATACTCGGGTAGGTCTGGACTCCATTACCCACAGTGCACTCTGCATTCCTGTTGCTGACGGTTGGCTCTTTCAGATGGTCTGAAGAGGATTCTGTGCCAAGTGGCCCTAAAGAAAGGGCCAGAAGGAGAGAACTCCTCGCTTGTTGATCGCCTGATGCTTAACGACTCCAAGATGTGGAAAGGTAAGAGTTTTAGGTCAAAAGAACCAAAGCATGAGCAAAAACAAGAAAGAATTGGACAAAGAGTTCTTTCTAAAGAAAGGGAACCCAAGTCTGCACAGTTTGACATGGAAACCAGGTTAGAAAGTTCTGACGGTTCTGAGAAGAGAACCGAGGTAATGTTAGCTTTGTTTCTGCAGGAGCTCGGAACATCTACCACCAGCTGCTAATGAACAGTCTCCTTATGGACCTCAAGTTCAAGAAGATCTTTGCCATCCAGTTCGCCAAGGTAACAGACCCAAACTAGACATCCAACAGATCCAGGTTTAGATCCAGGATCTTAAATGCAGATAGAGGTCCATGGTTTCCCGGATCCCTGATTGTAGGTTCAGATCCAGGTCACCAATCTTTGGTCCAGATCAAGTGTCTTAGGTTAAGATCCAGGCCCCAATCTTTAATCCAGATCAAGGGTTTTAGGTTCAGATCCAGTTTCCCGATCTTTGATCCAGATCAAGGGTTTTAGGTTCAGATCCAGTTTCCCGATCTTTGATCCAGATCAAGGGTTTTAGGTTCAGATCCAGTTTCCCAATCTTT